ACCACCTCCACACCCCACCACCACTCACAATCACCACCACCACCACTACCACCTCCACACCCCACCACCACTCATAATCACCACCACCACCACCACCATCACCTCCACACCCCACCACCACTCATAATCACCACCACCACCATAACACTGAGAACTCAGCCTCCAACACATGAACTTTAGAGGTCACTTATCCACCCATCTGGGGATCTGAGACTTTGGTTCGTCATTCAATACCTGTGTGGTCAGTCCTCACTGAAACACTGGTAGTCAGCCCCTCATGAGCTTCCCTATTACACAGCACTTCACAGTAGTGACTCAACCCATGGCTGTGCCCTGTGTAACTCCCCCTGGGAGCTGGTGACTGGCTCCTCTCTGGTGAGCTGTCTCTGTATCCTGGCCTTGTCACGGCTTGTGCCTTTCTGACTCCACCCTGTAAGCAGTGAGGCCTCCCAGCAAAGCATTATGTCTGGGACCCCTTGACACGATCTCTTAAGAGCTGCTCTCCTCTCCTAGGATGGAGCCCACCAAGATAACAGTTGTCTCCGTTTCAAAGCTAACATGGAACTGTATGGAACTGGGGCGGGAATTTGAGCCCCTGTTCCTCCAGGCTCTTCGCCTTTCTAAGCCTGAGCTCCCGGCTGTAAAATGGAAGGTAAAACACCAACCTTCCGGGGCTGCTGTGAGGATGCAGAAGAGTCCTCTGGGGGAAAAGGCAAGATGGTGTCAGCGCTCAGGTGGGGCTTGATCTCTACAACCAGAAAGAGGAATCACACCCCCCACCAATGAGGTTGGGCTAGCCCTGTGCAACTCCCCCTTCTGGCATCCGATAGAACTGCTGGAGAGGAAGGCGTGAACAGCTGTACTATTACCGCAAGTGTTATTGATTGTGCAGAGCTGTTACAGCTAAGAACACATATTTAATGCCAGATACACCCAAATTAAGAGAAGATGACCGACAACAGGGGCCTGAGGAAATCTTCCAAGGCCACAGAATTGCTCTGCTTCCAATGGTGGCTCTCCAGCCCTCTGCATCAGTCCAACAGGGATCTGCGCACCAGAATGAGTTGTGTGCGGCATGCGAATTTATAGATAAATAAACGCATTGGGAAAGGTCGCTTTAACACCGAAAGCGGGGCGGGGGGGGGGCGGGGGGCGGCTCTTTTGTAAAAGAAATGGTGTTTCCTGCCGTGAAAGCCGTGTCAAAGGCAGCTTTCCCTAGACAGTCCTTCTTAATTGTAGTTATTGAAAGACAGGGAATGGGGACTCTTGAGGAGCGCGCAGGAAATGTGATTTACTGGTTTATTCATTTAGGCCTGAAAGGGAGTGATGAAGTCTCATTTAAAATGTATGACTTGACTTGAAGGAAAGTGAGACACGTTGACGGAGCGTCCCTCTGGAACCTATTGAAGGCCCTGGAATCGGGCGGTGTGGCTGTCCCATGGCCCTTTGGGGACAGGCTTGTGGGTGGAAACGCCTGTGTGGCTGTGAGGAGGTGCCGGCAGGAGGCTGTGAATAAATTAGCCCCTCTTTGTTGTGGCAGATGGGGCTTCTGCCAGGCAGCCCCTGTGACCGCAGGGCTCATTGCAAGTTTGGGGCCTCTCTTCAATGGAGCGCTGGCTGCAATCTTGGCTGTGAGTTTAGACATCGCCTTGGAGAGCAGTCGTGCGGGCAGAGCTGAAAGTATGGCTGATTGCAAGGGTAGGTGGCCGGGCATGGGCCTGGCAGCCTGTGCTCACTAGAGGGCCACTGTGCCAAGGACTCCGGCGCTGGCATCATCAGGTGGTGAGGACAGAGGAAGGAAGCAGCTCCCATGAGAGTGAACTTGATCAGAGAGCCCTCCAAGGGCCTGGCTCTGTAGGCAGTGAGCTCTCCACTCTTGGGGGTGTGCAGATACTCAGGCACTGGCTTGACAAGGTCTGCCCTCATTGTGTCTGGAGGAGCTGAACCAGTCTCCTTTCTGTGTTGGCTCGGTAGTTAAGAGGACCTGGGTTTGATTCCTAGCACCCACAGGGTGGCCCACGCCATCTGTCACCCCTGCATCCTTCACGGGGACTGACCTTGTCCCTTTCCCTTTGTTCTCTTATCTAATTGTAGCCACGTGCCAGTGGGCATAGGCCCTGCCATACCGTTTGGTTCGCTGACTCCAGAACCGTGGTATTCCTCTTTCGTGTGCCGTGTTTTCTTCATCTAGTGATCTTTCTGCCACCTCTGCCCCTGGCTCTCGCTCACAGGTCAGGTCTCTGCAGTAATTGCTTTCTCCTTCCAAGCTGGTTCACTCCACAGCCCAGGGAAGCATGGGTCTCCTCAAGTCACTAGAGAAGAGGCAAGAGCTGACAGCCTTCCCTTGGCCTTGCCAGACTTCATGGCTGGGCTTGCTGTCCGACACGGGTGAGACTAGGTAGAGAGTCCTGCCCCCCCCCCAGGCCAGCTGGGATGCAGCTGGTCAAATATGAACAGAACCCTTGTTTAGGACTTGACTGTGTGGTGAGGCCTGCGGGATTGGTAGGAAATCCCCCTGTTAGAGTTGAGGAAGAATAGGGGCAATAAGGCCTGAGTACAGAGAAGGTCAGAGCATCAAGGTATCTCAGAATGAGACTTGGTGCCAGCCGAACAGATCCCTTGTATGTTAAGAAGCTAGGTGAAAAGGGTGAGCTAAGGGTCTAACCTGTGTTGCAGGTTCTCAGGTCCTCTCAAAGAAACAAAACCCCAAGTCTCTCTTCTCTGTCCCCCCCCCCCCCCGTACACAGAGGCAGAAAAGCTTCTCTGCCCTTGGTAACTTGACTTGACACTACCCCAACCCTCAGGGTTCTTAAGCCTTCCATTGTAGGACCTGAGAAACCCCTATGTGACCCTGAGTACAGAGTATACAAAGTAGGCATGCAGAAAAGCATCAAATATTTATTCATAATAAATCATCAAGAGACATACTTTAAAACAGTTCTTTAGTGTATGTATAATTTTTACCACTCATTGAAGCTAAGAGCAATGTTGCACCCTAATGCGATGGATGTGTGTATTCATCTTCACATAAAGAATTCAATCTCGGGAGTTGGTGAGAAGGCTCGGTGTTAAGAGCCACGTAACCGGCAATAAATATGCAGATGGTAGCTGAGGTGTTGGGGGAACTCAGGGAGAGCGTGATGAGACTCAAACTCTACCACTGACCGCCGGACATCTGGACATCTTTCCCCCTTTAGGCTGGCTTGCAGATCCCAGGCCTAGGAGTACACTTCCTCAGAGGAGCCGCCCCTCCCTCCTCAAAGAGCTTCCTGTGGGCCCTCAGAGCCCAGGGTTGGGCTCCTGACCCGCCAGAGTAAAGCGTTGTTCCTTTGTCTTCTCCCAGCTCCTGTGGTCCTCATGCCACCTCGAGATGTTCACAATGTCACTGGGGCTCAAGTGTTCCTTTCGTGTGAGGTAAAGGCTGTGCCCACCCCGGTCATCACCTGGAAGAAGGTAATTTTCTCCAAGCATGTCTGCATTTGTCTGTGTGCATGTGCCCATGTGTTGTGAACGTGGGAGAGAAGAACAGAGACAGAAGGAGCCGTGGGTGGTAACAGTTTTTCCTTAGGTGTGTTTCTATGTGGGCCGAAGGATTAACAAAGACACCCCAGCCCTGTGCCACCAAGCTGCCAGCCCAGAGCTCTCTCCAGGGGAGGGGTGGCATTCCTTCCCATGCTGTTTGTTCGTTTGGTCGCTTCGGTGCCTAGAAAGCTCTGCTAGCTGGCAAACTCTCAGCTGCTGGGTCCTTAGACAACAGATTGGTAACAGAGACCCAATCCCGTCCTGAACGCTGACGGTTGGTTCTGAGAGATTGGCAAAGGTCACAACTTTAGTTGGTCCCTTGCCCCAACAGCCCTGATGAGGGCTGTGAAATTCACAGCTATTCCCACCCTCCTCCACACTTTGGAAAAGTTGGCAACCTCAGTGTCCAGCAGGCGGCGCTGTCCAGTAGACACATATTTAATCAAGGAAGCCTGAGTTATTTGCCAAGAATGACAGACATTTTGATTTCTGCAATGGAGTCCAGGGAGATTGTAGGTGGCCAGAGGCCTGTGGGGTCAACCTGACTCAGAATTATTTTTCTAAACTGTATATGCTTTCTCTGCCTCATATAGGTCGTGGGTTCTCCTGAGGGCACTGAGGAGTTGGAGGAGTTGCCCGGAGACCATATCAATATAGCTGTCCAAGTGCGTGGGGGCCCTTCTGACCATGAGACCACATCCTGGATTTTGGTGAGTGTTTCGGATTATTGGATATTGTTCCGGTGGAAAGTTCCATCCTAAGCCCCCTCCCCTGGGAGTTGCCTTAGTCTAGACTCCACCTCCGAGAAAGCCGGCCAAACAATGACCCCCTCCCCAGAGATGCTCAAGACCACCCTCACAGGGTATTTAAATTGCCCCACTTGTCCCTGCCCCCAGGGAACAAACACGTGATTTTCTGGTCTTCTTTCCCAGGCTCCTCTCTGTGAGACTAGAAATTCTTCTGGGAGCGTTTGTATCTATTAAACGCCTTTTCTAATTCCGTTTGATTTGGTCTGATTCGAATTATTGCATCGGCGGAGAAGTTTATTGGGGTGGTGCAGTAACTCTTCAGATATTATCAGCAAACAGCCCTCTCTGTCTTCTCACGTCACGCTACACTTTTAAAACTGTTCCCTACTCTTTCCTTTTGGCTTTGCTGGGGACCAAACTTCAAATTCTTATTTTGAAGGCTGATGAGATGGCTTGGTGGGTAAAGGTGCTCGACCTGAGTTCAATCCCCAGGACCCACATGGAGGATGGAGAGACCTGACTTCTGCAGCTGTCCTCTGACCTCCCTACACCTGTGTGTGTGTATATATGCATATACACAAAACAAATAAATAAGTGTAATTTTTAAACATTTAAAATGTTATTTTGAGACAAGGTCTCACTATGTTGCCCAGGCTGACTACAAATTCTTGAACCCATTGCTCCAGCCCACAGAGTAACTGGTGTGTGCCACCAGATCCACCCTGTCCCTGTCTATGCCCCACTGGACACTCTGGAGTAGGCGGGGCAGGTTAGATAGCTCCCAAGAGTGTAAGGTATCTTAGTTAGGGTCCTTATTACTGTGAAGAGACACCTTGACCAAGGCAACTCTTTTTTTTTTTTTTTAATTTTATTTATTATGTGTACAGCATTCCGCCTCCATGTATGCTTTCAGGCCAGAAGAGGGCACCAGATCTCATCATAGATGGCTGTGAGCCACCATGTGGTTGCTGGGAATTGAACTCAGGACCTCTGGAAGAGCAGCCAGTGCTCTTAACCTCTGAGCTATCTCTTTAACCACCAAGGAACTCTTATCAATGAAAACATTTAATTGGGGTGGCTCACTTACAGTTCAGAGGTTCAGTCCACTATCATCATGGCGGGGATCATGGCAGTGCATAGACTGATGTGGTGCTGGAGAAAAGCTGAGAGTTCTCCATCTTGCAGGCAGCAGGAGGTCGACTGAGACACTGGCTGGCATCCTAAGCATAGCAAACCTCAAAGCCCTCCCTTGCAGTGACACACTTCCTCCAACAAGGCCATGACCTACTCCAGCAAAGCCACACCTCCTAGTAGTGCCAGTCCCTATAAGCTTATGGGGGCCAGTTGCGTTCAAACCACCACAATAAGTGATCTACTGCTGTGGCCCAAAAAAGATGTCCCAGTGCCCAGCTGTGGATGGGCTGTCCCGTGTGGCAAGGGGGTGAGAGTTTAAAAACTTTAAGATGAGATTGCCCAGGGAGAGTCTCAGGTAAGTCACATGCCATTAGGGTCATAAGAAACTTAATCGATTATTCAGGCCAGTCTAGTTTAAAGGTGAGTCTATATGAGGAAAAAGGAGGCAGAAGTATGGCAGGATGAGAGAGGTGCTCCCACCGTTACTGAACTGATGGTGGAGGATGGTGTCCCCTGGAAGCTGGCCAAGGCAAGAAAACACATTGTCCCCTCAAGGTTTAGGGATGCTGAACATACCCTGATGTGAACATGCTGGACCCACACTGAAGGTGATAAATTTGTGTTGTGTCAAGCTGCTAAACTTGGGACTGTTCGTTACAGCAGCCACGAGAAACTAATACACCTGCCTAGGACCACAGGTAGAGAGGGAACCGCAGCCTTGGCATTCCCCGCAGGGCACTGTTAACAGTGCTCAGAACACTTTTGCTAAGATAAGGGAATGCCATTTATTTGAAAAATCACACCAATGGGAGCTAAGATTGAGGCTGGACAGTCACTGGTGCTTTCTTAGTCTTAGCTTCTTGTGACCTTGTGGCATACCTGTGAGTCTCCTGTAAAATGAGATCAATAACACCTGCCCTTCTCCCCTGTGTTGTGTGACAAAACTTTTCCTGGGGAGATCTACACCCCACATTTCACACACACATTTGGGTAGCTCAGCGGGTTTCTGCTTCTTCCAGGCAGGTGGTCTGGTCTGAGGGCCTTTGCAGCTCTGCTTCTTTCCTTCTGAGGGGGACTCTTCACTTTCATTGCCTACTCTGGCAGGGAGGAGCCTAGTGAATCTGGTTGGTTTCAGGGACTTCCTGATGCTCTTGTCTACCTTCCTGTTTAAGGAGCTCCCCTGCAGGATGGAACGTTTCAGTCTTTGAGGAAACTGGTACACGACACCCTTCACCCTCGTTGGTGTGAGTTCAACAATACTGTGCACTTGACTGCCCGTATCATGTAATGGTCTGTGGTGGGTTGGGCTGTTGCTACGGGAGAAGCCAAAAAAGATGGGAGTGGGTGTGTCCATGGTGGTGAACTCCAGCAAGCTCTCAGGGGATGTCTGCCTCGCTTCCACCAGTTCTGGGTAGTTCTTCATCCGGGTGAGGGATGGGGAATACAGCAGAATGTGTGTGGCCTTTTCCAATCAAGCATTCTCTCTCTCTCTCTCTCTCTCTCTCTCTCTCTCTCTCTCTCTCTCTTAAAATTTTTTATGTGTGGCAAAAGTTGAGGACAAGGTTTCTTGATGGTTTCTTATAAAGGCTGCCCCATAAAGAACACTTGGCAGTCTTCTCTAGTGGGTAGATGTTTGTCCTTAAAATTTATGCATTTTTTCCCTCCAAGTCAGCCCTTGTCACCTTTAGTGGAAAGTCAGGCAGCTTACAATAAAGGCTGAGACTACAGAGAAACTCCTAAAGCTAAGAGCCACAGCAAGGAGCAGGCCCTTCAAGGAGGGTCCCTAAGGAGGCTAAGAGCCACAGCAAGGAGCAGGCCCTTCAGGAGGGTCTCTAAGGAGGCAGAGTCAGATTCTGAAAGCAACAACGGAGCAGCTCTGTCACTGGGAACTGTACACAGGCTGGGGTGTGACTCGGTTGTGGGGGGTGCTTGCTTAGCACGCAGGAGGCCCTGCAGTGGTTTGCCAGCGCCGTGGAAATTGTGTGGTAGCACAGGCCTCTCATTCTGGCACGCTGGAAGTGAAAGCTGGAAGATCAGGAGTTCGGGGTCCGCCTCAGCCACACAGTGAGTGGCTTGCCCGAAAAGAAGGAGCGCTGAATAAGGTCGTCAGTCTTGAGTGTGATGTGGGCCACGCGCCGGCGTATAAACCTGTCCGTTGTATTTCTAGATCAACCCTCTGAGGAAGGAAGATGAGGGAGTCTACCACTGTCACGCGACCAACGCAATTGGCGAGGCCCAGTCCCACGGCACCGTGACAGTCCTCGATCTGAGCAGATACAAAAGCCTGCGCTCCCCAGTTCCAGCTGACCTCCTGTGAGGGACACGGTACACAGCCCTCGTCATTTCTGTCCCCCTCCCAGTAGCATGAGACATGCGACTGCTACTCCACTGATTTCTCAATCAAAGCCAGGTTGGAGCAGCAACCTCGGGGCGGGTCATGCCCATCCTAATGGCAGACAGATGAGCAGGAGCCGAGTACGTAGTCACGTCAAGTTTCTGTGAGTTTCTGCTCCAAAGTGATGTCATATTTGCGGATGGATCGTTGGCCATGGCAAGTCACACAACTGTGCTAGGTAGATGAAGTGGGACACACACACCACACACACACACACACACACCACTCACCAGAGCCAAAGGGCAGCCTGACCCTCTCAACAGGTGTGGGAGTTGCCGTCATGAACAGATAACACTGTCAAGATTGACCAGCAAGGTCTAATACTGTGGAGACCACAAGAGGGCATTAAGTCCCTTGGAACTGAAATTACAGATGGTTGTAAGCTGCCATGTGGGTGCTGGGACCTGAATCCAGGTCTCCTGCAAGAACAGTCAGTGCTCACAGCTGCCGAGCCATCTGGGATAGACATTCTTAAAAGCAGGATTTTGCTGTGGTTCTAACCCCTTGCTCTTTTTGACTGCTTTCGCTGGACTGCCTTCTGTCAGTTCTGTAGGGTGTGTGGAGAAATGACAACCATCACCACACCATTCAGGGAGTGTGCCATGGGCATGAGACAGGAGAGTCTTTACACTGGGGAGACTGAAGGAAAGATGTCACCGAGGAAGTGGCACCGGGGTTGAAGGACAGGTATCTGTAGGCCATCAGAGGTCCTAGGAACAGAGAGAAAAACATGGAAGTGTAAACCCATAGGACTTCAGCGAGGCTGGGAAATCAGATCTTACAAGTTGTCTTCCTAATACTCAAGTTTCCTATTACGCACGATACACATGAGGATATGTGTTGTTTTATATCGTTTATAATAACGTGGTTTACATCTGCGTCTTAAGCTCCCTCTCCAGCCGGCAGGCACTATTGGCCAGCTCTTGGTTGTGTGGCCTCCTGGAATGAAATGCTTACAACTACCGTACAGCCATCTCGGGGCTTCTTAGGGCAAGAGACGTCTTTGCCTATAAGCTGGAGTCTGCTTCCCTGGAATACCTGACCTTTGGTCTTAAATATTCTCACTGTTCCAGGACTGCCTCGCCCCCCATCAGCTCTGACTTCATCCCTCAGTGAGGAGGGCTTTGGACCCCAGCATCACATCCTCCACCTTGCATGTAACACACAGATCATTACAACAGAGCAAGCTTCTGCCTCTAATGCCCTCCCCCTTTCCTTCCCAGGCTTCTGGAGACACTGGTCAGAACATGATGGCGACATCAAGGAGTGGATCATTTTGCTCTGTGAAAATCTGGGGAGACTGCGTCGATGACTCCTTTTTGTATGTTTTTTAAAGAAAGGAATGCACACTAGATTCTTATGCAGATGTAGTTTTTAGCAGGGCAGACCTTGGGAAGACACATGCATGTAGCTTTTTTACATTTTTGGGATGAATTGTTCTAGAACAATTCTTTTTTTTAACTCTTTCTACCCCAGGATGGGTCGCACACTGTGTGTTTGTAATTTTAAAGGGCTCCAAACAAGGCATGTGACTCATTTGTGACTTGGTGTCTGTGACTTAGTGGATGCTCTGTGATTGTGTGTCCTGAAGGGAAGGAGGTCCCTTGCCCCATCCGAGGTGACTGAGGTGGGTGTTTTCCCTCCTCTGGGTTGTGGTTTCCACCTGTGACCACAGCTTTGGACTGATTGCTCCTCGAGCTCCCTGCGGCCCCACCCTCCTTGAGTGACGTGGCCCTAGGGAGTAGGGTCCAGTCATTCTCTTCTGGACGGCTCGGGTGGCTCTTCTGCTCCTCCTTCTCCCCATTGTGAGGATTTAGTTGTAGGTGGGACCCTCTGCTAGACTCAGGAGCTGCTTGAGCAAGGCGGGCACTTGTTAGCCCAGTGTTCTCCCAGCAGACGAACAGCAGACACCTGACTTCTGCTTGGCACACTGAAGAAAGGAAACTGGGAGGCATCTGTAGGTGGCGGGGTCACACTGAAGTACAGTGCATTGTCCTTACCCAGGCAAGAGCCCCACTTAATGAGGAAAAGAAAAAAGAATATCTGTTCTCTGGTCTGAAGGTTCTAGGGGACTACACTTTGTTTGTTTCTTTCTCTCTTTCTATTTATTTATTTATTTATTCGTTTGTTTGTTTGTTTGTTTGTTTTAAGACTGGGTTTCATTGTAGCCCTGGCTGTCCTGGAACTCACTCTGTAGACCAGGCTGGTCTCGAACTCACAGAAATCCACCTGCCTCTGTTTCCCAAGTGCTGAGATTAAAGACGTGCACCCAGCTGCCTGCAGATTCTTGCCATCAGGGTTGGGGGGCCCTCACTGTAGACAGGCCTGACTGTTCACAAGATACTGCCCCATGCATGGGCCCAGCCATAGCGGAAGGAGCAGGGATTTCTGCCCCTCTGCCTTGCTGCAGCAGCCAGGCTCAGGGAGCAGGTGCTCTACCATAGGTAACAGCCTTTGAGTGGGGGCAGAACTCAGCCACTTCCCTGGCTCAGTTTCCTCAGGATGAACTTGAACCAGGGAGGGGAGGGGAGATGCTGCCTCACCGCCTCACCAACTGGGCCTGAAGCTCATCCTGGCTTCCGCTAACACTCTTGCTGCTCGTGGCTGGCCCTATGTTTTGGAGTTCTTGTTAGAACTGGGTTGCTGTCATCAATCCTAGCAGATCCGAGTTTGAAATGCTGGGATGTTGTCACCTTCGTGTACTGTCCCCGCAGAGGGGGACAGGTTGGAGACTCTGAAAACATGGTGTCCATGTGCATATTCACTGTGTGACCTTGGGCAAGTTCAGGTCCTTTGTGGGTTCTGTGTCCTCAAGTGGGTGTGTGGAAACCCTTGTGTAAAATCAGAAAGGACACTGGAAGTTGCTGTCGGGGAATGGGACAGCCAGGGGATCTGCTTGTGTCTACACCAGAGTTGGTCCCTCCTGCCCCTCTCAGCTCCCCTATCACGGTTATCTCCATGTCTGAGAGCCTGCTCTTAACGTCCTGTGAATTGAGTGGGTTGGAGATGGCATACTCAGATCCTCAGTGGAGTGACATCAGAGGGATGTCACCTTGGAGACACCTGTGGAGCGTGGCGAAGGTGATATATACTTTGCTTCCATGATGGTGGTAGTTGCAGCATGCAGAACATGCAGAATCACTTGGTCACCTCTGCATTGGATGCAGTTCCTGGTGGAAGTGCTGAGGGTTGGGACCTTTTGGGGCTGGGTTGTGTTATGTGTCACACCTGAGCGACATAGGTAAACAATGCATGCTACGCTGTCTGGAACGTCACCAATGTCTAAAAAAGTGGATCAACATGATTGTTCAGCCCAGTGGCTTTTCACTCTGGGAGGTCCAGGGGCCCTTCTGGGAGCCGGAATACGTGCCATGACCGTCACCATTGGAAGCACAGTTACCTACACACCCAACCCTGTTTGTATAGATGTCGTGATGCTACAGCCTGTGCACCCTGGCAATAAATGTCTGTAGGGGTGGACTCCTGGCTCTCTCCACCCTGGGAATGCTGCTTCAGATGCTGATCCAGGTCCCGCCCATCCATCTTTCTCATCCTGCGTGCATCTTGCCCATTTTTCTGCTTACATTAGCTACTTCCACCCGACCCTCCTCACCTCTCCCACCTGGGCTTTGGCTGCCCCCTTGCCTGGTATCCATTTTTAGTTTTTACTTTGTTTTGTCCTTGCTTAGAGACAAGGTCTCACTGTAGTTCAGGCTGTCCTGGAACTCCATATGTAGACCAGGCTGACCTCAACTGACAGAGATCTGCCTGCTTCTGCCTCCCAAGTGTGGAGATTTAAGGTATGTGCCCTACCACACCTAGCCCCCTACTTGCAGGGGTTGTTTGTTTGTTTTGATTTATTTTGAATGTGTATGAGTATTTTGCTTGCCTATGTATCTGAGCACTGCCTGCATGCAGTACTCACAGAGACCAGAAGAGGACATCAGTTCCTCTGAAATTGGAGTTACATGGTTGTGAGCCACCATATGGGTGCTAGAAAATGAACCCAGGTCCTTTGTAAGAGCAAATGTTCTCAACTGCTGCTCCACATCTCCAGCCCCCTACGTGTAGTTTTTAACCAGCCTTAACCATCCACTATTAACCATTTAACATCCACTATTCCCAGCCTGGCTCTTCTGAGTCTCCTGGACTTGCATCTTCATGCATTTTAGTGCATGGAATTTAGTGATTTCTTCACTCACCACTCTGAACTCCCACCTCCCATAGACAGAGTGAGGAAGGGGGTCAGGTACCAGAAGGTGCAAGTCGCTAGGTGGGAGAATAGAATGTGTGCCAGGTGCCCGCCAGCTGTGGCACAAGAGCTTTCTGAAGGCTGAGCCGACCGCTGCCCAGAAATTTAGAAAGAGATGACATCCACATAATTTTAATGATAGCATTTTAAACTTTATTATTATTATTATTGATACTTAGTATGCCTAATCTATAACTTCAATTTATCATAGACATGTATAGGGAGATTAATGTGTTTGCTGTACAAGTGTGTGGTCCTGTGTTTGATCCATCCCCAGAACCCACATGAAAAAGCTGGCCATGGTGGTGCAAGCCCTGCAGTCCCAGAACTGGGGAGGTATAGATGGATAGCTCCCTGGGGCTCGCTGTCTAGACAGCTAAGACTAAGAGGCAGGCTGCCAGTCAACGGAAACCCTGTCTAAAAAAAATAAGGTCAGTTCTGAAGAATGGCATGTGAGGTCACACTTTCACACTCATGTGTGCACCTGCATGCTGGGTACCTGTGTACTGTGCACGGTTATTCATCTGCACAAACACGTACACATATACAGATGAAACACCATCTGAAAAGGTGTCTTTGTGGAGTCTCGGGGTGTATTCTCCACAGAGAAGGGGGTACCGCAGTGATTCTAAAGTCTATATTCAACTCCAAAGGTGTTCACTTTTTATCCTAAACCACCAAAGGGCTGGGCTTTAGTGCGATGGATATTTTTGCAGCAGGTTTTGTGATGAAATTAATTCCTATCTTTAGAAAATGCCACTCTCCTGTCCCCCAAGATTGAGGATGTAGGCCAGACCATCAGAGTCGTCCGGGAGGGAACAGTCTCCTCTCATAGCTGTTCTTATTCTCAGCCTTCACGGGGGCCTCGTGGACGTTAAATCAGAGAGTGGGCATTATGTGATATTTTAATTAATTAAGGAAAACCACATTGCTCTGGTGTCTGTGGCTTAATGAATTCAGGATATGGAGCCCCACAGCATGCTTGCCACAGTGGCTCAGTGGGGCCGGCTCCTCTCCCCTGGAGTATGACTGCCATTATAGGTCAGGGCTGCCGGTGAGCTCTGACTTGGTGACCTCCTGGCCGAGAAGTGCCTGGTTCCCACAGGCAGAGAGTTCTCACTGTGCCTATCACTGGCTGACTGTAAGTCCCATGGAGGATGTGTCAGGCAAGACACAGACAGCACCATTTGACAGAAGAGACATGTGCGCATGTCCACTGGGGTCCAGGAACCAGTGCCCCGAGGTTAGCGAGGGATGGCTGTGTCATGTGTCTTTGGCTTATGGCCTCCCTCCTCCATTAGTTAGGAAGCACACTATTTTTGTTGAGTTCCCTGCTGCAGCCCAGCACCTAGCACAATTCCCAGCCCACAGAGAAACACTTGATAAAAGGTGCTGAATGAGGGAATAGACAAACTGATCCCCTTTCCCTTGTTCCTAAGCCTGTTGTTCCTCCAGCAAGTTCCCCTGTTTGTCTCCCCTCCCTCCCACCCCCACAGGTTCTCCTATACTCTAGCATAGCCTCAAACTTGATATGTGGCCCAAGGTGACCGTGAACTTACAGAGATCCTGATTCCACTCCTAGAGTGCTTGGGTTATAGGTGTGTGCCACCATGCTTGATTATATGTGGCACTGGGGACCAAACCCAGTGTTTCCTGCATGCTAAACAAATACTCTATTAGCTGAGCTATCTCCCCCAGCTCAAGCCTCTCTTTTGCAGAAGCTGACAATCCCTGACCCCACACCCCCACACACTGGTTACCCCAAACAAAAGAGGTACCTTTTTTTTTTTAAAAAAAAAAAAAAGATTTCTTTATTATGTATAGTATTCTGCCTACATATATCCTATATGCCAGAAGAGGGCGCCAGATCTCATTACAGATGGTTGTGAGCCACCATGTGGTTGCTGGGAATTGAACTCAGGACCTCTGAGCCACCTCTCCAGCCCCCAAAGGGGGACCTTTGACTTTCCTCTGGCACCTTCTGTCATCTTCTTACCTTACCCCGCCTCCTGGGTGGTCAGGATCCCCTTGTGCCACACCCTGTTCTAGCTAGTGTTATGGTGGCAAAGCAACAGTGTCCTACACAATCTGCCCCAAGTCCATTGTCTACATGGAAACAGTGTGACCTTTAGACCTTGAATCTGAGCGGGTCCCTTAAGACTGCCAGGGCTTTCTTAGGGTACAGGCAGAGTGCTCCAACCCCTGACTACCTACCCCCCCCCCAGTCTCCCTGTTCCTGTGGGAACAGCTTACCTGTCTCTCCATCTGTGTGCTTCTTACAGGCTCTGGCCTTCCCTCTCCCAGAAAGGCCTGCCCCTTTCCCAGTGGTCTTACCTCCTCCCTCTCCTCATTCACCAGGATCTTGTGTCCGCTGGGCCCTGCCCTGGGCCGAGCGGAGTGCAACAGGCAGAGGAGAGGAGTCTCAGATTGTGTTAACCCTGCCTAGCTGCTTAGCAAATGACTGGCGGCATCCCGAGGAGGGGTGCTAGCTGGTGCCTTGTGGGTACATCTCCCAAAAGGGACCCCTGAGAGTAGAGGAGAGCTCTGAATGAGCTGGTGCTTTGTGGTGTATCTCCCAGAGAACACCTGAAGACAGATGGGTGCTCCAGATGAGCCGGTGCCTTGTGGGTACATCTCTCAAAAGGGACCCCTGAGGGCAGTGAGCCAGTGCCTTGTGGGTACATCTCCCAGGGGACCCCTGAGGACAGATGGGAGCTCCGGATGAACCGATGCCTTGTGGGTACATCTCCCAGGGGACCTTTGAGGACAGACGTTAGCTCCGGATGAGCCGGTGCCTTGTGGGTACGTCTCCCAGGGGACCTCTGAGGGCAGACATTAGCTCCGGATGAGCCGGTGCACTGTGACATCTTGGCCCCTGCACGCCCACTTGCCCCTGCCCTTGTCACCCTGTCACCCCGTTCTGTAATTGTCTTACTTGCAGACTGAGCTCCCAGCAGGCAGTCTTGTCTGATTCGCTTTCTCCCAATGGTCCCAAAAGGACTTTCTTTTCTCTTTCAGATCAATGAAGGATCTGAGCAAACTAGTAGAAGCGGGGACCACCAGAGGTCAGCCTTTTACCCATAATGATGCCAGCCCACATGGAAGTGCCTTGGTGGCACTGGGCTGATCAGGGCAGATGTGACTGGAGCGCTGTTGTGGATTGGGGGCCGCAGACTGGAGCTTAGAGATGTGATTAGATGGACTCCTAAGTACACCCCTTTGTCTGGCCCCTAGAGCATGCTCATGGAAAACTGACCCAAATAAGCGCTTTGCTAAACCTCCCAGAGCCAGAGTGATGGCTCCAAGGTTAGGAGCGCTTGCTGCCCTTCCAGAGGACCCGAGTTCAGTTTCAGCACCCACGTCAGGCTGCTTACAAACTGCCTCTAACTCTGACTCCAGGGCGGTATTTGATGTCCTCTTCTGGCTTCTGCAGGCACCCATACACAGCGGTACACACACATACAGGCATACACACATACAGGCACCATTGCACACAGGTACACATATATACAAACACCCATTCACATAGGTACACACAGACAGGCACCCAAACACACAGGTACACACACATATGAACACCCATGCA